GATTAATAAAAAAAATGTATAATGCAGTATAGCAATTTCAATCCGTGCATGTCACCAAATATAACTCCTCAAATACACGTATACGCGGAGAGCGATTCGAGATGCAGCGTATGATATACACGTATAATATACGAAGGAGCGAATTAAAAGCTTATGTAATAAGTTATTATTAATCAAAAAAATGGGTTTGAAATTCATTTTACGACAAATTTAAGAGAATGCCAAGTCATTTACTTTCTACTCTCTATAGATAAGTGTAGCAGATGTTCGTTCTCGAACGCTCTTTCTAGGTTATGATTCATGAACCATTCTAAAACTGCCCTCGCACGTGCTCTTTTACCTTTTACTTTTATATTTGGATAGGAGTTTTGAAAATAAACTTCAGATCAATATTTATTGATAAAAGCAGCTAATTTTATTTTTGTGGACGAGTCCATTTGTAGGCCGATGGAGGTCTTACAATTTTTTTATGACTAGCTACCCAAACATTCTTTTTAAATGGTGGTATTTGTCGCCCAGGTCGGTGAAAACGTTTTGGTGTTACAGATAAAATTCGGCCCCGGAAAAATGACCCGTTTTTTGCAATAGCCAGCTTCACACAGTCTCGCTCGGCGAATTCGATGTAGGCATAACCCTTAGGATGTCTGCTAATTTGGTCGCATACTATCGTAATACGCTTGCACGCTCCGCAGCCTTCAAAATGCTTTTCCAGCTCCTGTTTTGTTGCGGAGTAATGAACATTGCTTACGCAGATCGAACGATCATCTGGGTGGTCCGTCGGGAAACCGAGGTTCCTATCTATGTACTGTTTTGAACAGCTGTATTCGATGAGCTCGTGAAGTTTTCTCAGCTCTGCCTCTTTTTCTGACTTGGTTTCTGACTGCAACGGCTTCTCCACAACTGCCTCTTTTTCTGACTCAGTTTCCGAGTGCAACTCTTTCTCCAGCTCTGCGTACAGCGACATTTCTATATCCAACTCAATATGCTCACTTGGGAAAGACATCTTAGAGTATTGTCAGTTAGTTCGGACGATGTGCGACGTTCAAAGATTCGACACGATATGATGGCTCTAACGAGTGCGTCGGACTTTCTATAGGCGATCGCGTTTCCCTCTCTCTTTTTCTAATTATAAAACACTGGTCGTTTAACTGTCTATATGTTTTATAATTAGAAAAAGAGAGAGGGAAACGCGATCGCCTATAGAAAGTCCGACGCACTCGTTAGAGCCATCATATCGTGTCGAATCTTTGAACGTCGCACATCGTCCGAACTAACTGACAATACTCTAAGATGTCTTTCCCAAGTGAGCATATTGAGTTGGATATAGAAATGTCGCTGTACGCAGAGCTGGAGAAAGAGTTGCACTCGGAAACTGAGTCAGAAAAAGAGGCAGTTGTGGAGAAGCCGTTGCAGTCAGAAACCAAGTCAGAAAAAGAGGCAGAGCTGAGAAAACTTCACGAGCTCATCGAATACAGCTGTTCAAAACAGTACATAGATAGGAACCTCGGTTTCCCGACGGACCACCCAGATGATCGTTCGATCTGCGTAAGCAATGTTCATTACTCCGCAACAAAACAGGAGCTGGAAAAGCATTTTGAAGGCTGTGGAGCGTGCAAGCGTATTACGATAGTATGCGACCAAATTAGCAGACATCCTAAGGGTTATGCCTACATCGAATTCGCCGAGCGAGACTGTGTGAAGCTGGCTATTGCAAAAAACGGGTCATTTTTCCGGGGCCGAATTTTATCTGTAACACCAAAACGTTTTCACCGACCTGGACGACAGATACCACCATTTAAAAAGAATGTTTGGGTAGCTAGTCATAAAAAAATTGTAAGACCTCCATCGGCCTACAAATGGACTCGTCCACAAAAATAAAATTAACTGCTTTTATCGATAAATATTGATCTAAAGTTTTTTTTCAAAACTCCTATCCAAATATAAAAGTAAAAGGTAAAAGAGCACGTGCGAGGGCAGTTTTAGAATGGTTCATGAATCATAACCTAGAAAGAGCGTTCGAGAACGAACATCTGCTACACTTATCTATAGAGAGTAGAAAGTAAATGACTTGGCATTTTCTTAAATTTGTCGTAAAATGAATTTTAAACCCATTTTTTTGATTAATAATAACTTATTACATAAGCTTTTAATTCACTCTTTCGTATATTATACGTGTATATCATACGCTGCATCTCGAATCGCTCTCCGCGTATACGTGTATTTGAGGAGTTATATTTGGTGGCATGCACGGATTGAAATTGCTATACTGCATTATACATTTTTTTTATTAATCGGATAGCATCATTTTGCAATACATACATACATACATACATATTTGCAATTGTCGAACTATTCGCGTAAACAATAAATTATTCATAAAAAATTGATTGTTATCTGACATACGACGATGCGCATATTTACGATTATGGGAAACAAGCTTGTTGTTCAAATTTTTTTACGAACATTGTGAGCAATGGGCTTGTACATCTTATAATTATACATTTAACTCGTCTAATAATGTAAAAATATTAGCTAGAATAAAACTTTATGCAATTCGATTCAAAATGTTCCGAGATTCTATTTATTCTAGTATTTGTTTCTCGTATTCAAAATGTAAGGAACCTCACATTTTTCACTACGTTTGAGACTTGATGAAGTGATACTGATGTAAATATGAGATTTACAGATGTTACTTTGATCAAATTTGTTATTAGACACATTTTGTCGAAATCTGAAGTTTTTGTACTACTTTTCACATATTCGCATGGGATTGAAATTGCGTTTTTACGCAAAAGTGTTAATGCAGTTATCATACATGTAATCTTAAAAAAATTTGAGAATCGTCAATTTTCACACTGATGGCGTTCGTTATTTTTACAATCTTTGTATACTGCTTTTTGATGTCTGGTCAAATTATTTAGTTTTTCTTTTTGCAATAGTCATTTATGTAATCTTTGCGACTTTCGTGGACCATCTTTTGGTGTTTGATTAATTTTGATTTTTCTCCAAATTTCTTCTCACACTTGTCGCATACATAATCTTTACAACCTTCGTGTATTATCCTTTGGTGCTTGAGCAAGTTCGTTTTGAGTCCAAATTTGTTGTCGCATTTGTCACATGCGTAGTCTTTGCGACCTTCGTGAACTGTTTTTTTGTGATTGATGAAATGGCCTCGGTCCCCAAATTTCTTCTCGCATTCGTCGCATGTGTAATTTTTGGGACCATCGTGAAAGGTATTTTGGTGCTTGATCAAATATGATTTTATTTTAAATTTCATTTCACACTTGTCGCAGGCAAAATCTTTGCGACCTTCGTGCACTATTTTTTTATGTAAATTCAGAGTCGATTTTCGGGCAAATTTTTTTTTACACTTGTCACATGTGTAATCTCTGCGATCCTCGTGTACCTCCCTTTGATGGCCAAGCAAAGTCTCTTTAAGTCCGAATTTCTTTTCACACTTATTACAAGCAAAATCTTTTCGACCTGTATGCACTGTTATTTTATGTCTGATCAGATTACATTTAATGCTAAATTTTTTGTCGCATTTGTCACATGCGTAGTCTTTGCGACCTTCGTGAACTGCTTTTTTGTGGGTGAGCAAATTACTTTTTTGCCCAAATTTCTTCTCGCACTTGTCGCATGAGTAATATTGAAGTCCTTCGTGTACGGCTCTTTGGTGGATGAGCAGATACCGTTTGTACCCAAATTTCTTCCCGCATTTATCACATAAGTAGTCTTGGGAGACTTTGAAGTCCAAATCTTTGCAATCCTCTTGTACTGTCTTTTGGTGTTTCATCAATTTCGATTTTTGTTCAAATTTGTTTTCACACTTGTCGTGCGCTGTCTTTACGTGCAAGAGCAAACTCCTTTTGTTTTCAAATCTCTTCGCACAAATTTCACATAAGTAATTCCTGAATACTTCGTGGAATATTTTTTTGTGCTTTAGTAATGTTGTTTTATTTTCAAATGTTCTCTCGCACATGTTGCATGGGAAATGCTCTTGATCTTTGTGAACTAATTTTTGGTGCGTAAGCAAACTCGATTTTTTCACAAATTTCTTCTCGCACTGGTCACATGCAAAATCTTTGCTGCTTTTGTGTTCTGATATTTGGTGTCTACTCAAATGACTTCGGAACTCGAATTTTTTTTCGCGCTTTTCACATGCGTAATTTTTTAGTTCGTTGTGAATTTTGTCTCGGTGTGCTATCATACTTGATTCTAGTGTAAATGTCTCCTGACAATTATCAGAAAAGTATTGTTTTTCGTCCGAAACAACAACTTTTTTGGATTTATTTTCACTTTTATCCATTTTGGTGCCTAAATTAAACTATGGATTCTTCTATTTAGTACTACAGAAATTGAATGAGTAAAATTTATTTTTTGGTTTTATAGCTTGTTTCATCGGGGAAGACAACATTCAAACTAATTAATGTTTACTACAAACATGATCACTGTTCCAGAGGCAATGTCAAAATCCTTTGTGATCATATTGTTTACAATTCAATTAACGATTTACCTGTTTAAACATTGTCCTTACAATATTTAAAGCTGAGTGAGAGATGTATTCGATAAAATTATTGATAGAACTGCTCTAATTGAACTTAATTTCTAATATTACGATTAAATGTACTGTATCGATGTGGATTCATAGATATGTTTCTGCTTTTGTGTGAATGTTTCTCCGTATATATCTCGCGTACGTGTAAACTAATTATGCGCCTGGATGAATGGCATTTTCATTGGCATGCGAGTGCCTCTATATGTATCGCAGTACACGAAACTGCGTATGGCGAATCAACGGTAGAGGGGGAATGGATGGACAAGTAGCTATTATCATCACGGGGTCACATTTGCTTATGTACGAGCATTGTACAGTCGCTTAAGCAAGTGTTTACAAATTGTGGAAATCGAGATACAGTGTTCGCTGCTCGAGGCGCATAACCTAAAATATTTTCTCAATTTATATTGTCGTGAAAACATACAGTTTGATCAAGTGAGATATGGAAAGCGGAGAGGACGCAGTCAGGTATAACTATTTTTTACGCATGCCTTGTGATATTTTTGGAAGCCCTCGCTTCATGAAACTTGATTATTCTTCAGAGTGAAGGAAGAACTACCGAATGATAATTGGCCCGATGCAAGTGATAATTATTTTTTCGATTCAATACACTCTTGCAAAGCTGAAAATGTTGAAGTTTTGCCGTTCCATGAATCATCGGTGAGTAAAATGATTTAAATGATATTCTGTTTGGCCACTATCGAAAACTGTTACACAATTTTAATTTTAGGCAAATCATGTGAATGAGGTTATGGAGTTTGCGAAAGTAGATAAGAAAATTTACATCGATTTTGAGTGCAAAGACGTCAAACCTGAACTGAAGCCTTTATCGACAACCATCTGTAAAACTGAGTATCAAAATTATCCACCTGCCGTAAAAATTGAAAATGAAAATCAGATCATTAACGCGAATGAAAATATATTTATTGATTTTGAGTGCAAAGATGTTAAAATTAAACTGAAGCCTTTATCGACAACCGTTTGCAAAAGTTATCCAACGTCAGTGAAAATAGAAAATCACGTGAATATTGTAAATAATCGCAGCAAACCCTTCGAGTGTGAGATTTGTCAAAAATTCTTTGGACGTAAAGCTGACCTCAAAGTTCACATAGACATAGTACATAATCGTATCAAACCCTTTAAATGTGACATTTGTCAAAAATCATTCGGTCAAAAATTCAAACTTAAAGTTCACATAAATATAGTACATGATCAGATCAAACCCTTTGATTGCGAGATTTGTCACAAATCATTCGGCTATAAGAATGATCTCAAAAAACATATAAATGTAGTACATAATCGGAGCAGACCTTTCGAGTGTAACATTTGTCAAAAATCATTTGGACAAAAAAGTAATCTCGATAAACACGTAAATACAGTGCATGATCGTAGAAAACCTTTTGAGTGTGAGATTTGCCACAAATCATTTGGATACCAGAATATATTCAAAAGTCACATCAATGTAGTACATAATCAGAGCAAACCCTTCGAGTGTGAGATTTGTCACAAATCATTTGCCTACCAATGCCACCTTAAACCTCACATAAATGTAGTACATAATGGGAACAAACCCTTCGAATGTGATATTTGTCATAAATTATTTGGACTTAAAAGTGACCTTAAAAGACATATAAGTGCAGTACATAATCGTCACAAAACCTTCGAATGTGATATTTGTCATAAATCATTTGGACGAAAAAGTTATCTTAAAATTCACATAAATTCAGTACATGATCAGATCAAACCCTTTGAATGTACAATTTGTAGCAAAACGTTTGGGCAAAGTAGTACTCTTCGTAAACACATTAGTGCAGTTCATATTCGGAGCAAACCCTTTGAGTGTGAGATTTGTCACAAATCATTTGTACTAAAAAGTGGCCTTAAAATACATGTAAGTGCAGTACATAATCGGAGTAAACCCTTTGAATGTGACATTTGTCACAAATCATTTGGAGAAAAGGGTAAACTCAATAGGCACATAAGTATAGTACATGATAAGAAAAAACCCTTTGAATGTGACATTTGTCGCAAAACGTTTGGACAAAGTAGTACTCTGCGTAAACACATTAGCGCAGTTCATAATCAGAGCAAACCCTTCGAATGCGGTATTTGTTGCAAATCATTTGGATACCAAAATTACTTAAAAACTCACATTGATGCAGTTCATAATCGTAAAAAACCCTTCGAATGTGATATTTGTCGCAAATTATTCGGACTAAAACATAATCTCAAATCTCATATAAGTATAATACATAATAAGAGCAAATTCTTCGAATGTGACATGTGTCAAAAATTATTTGGACAAAAAGTTCACCTTAATAATCACGTGATGAAAATACATAATTTCAGCAAACCACTGAATGTGAGGTTTGTTTCCACACATTAAAACCCAATGAAGACTTACTCATATAAGTGCGTTATATAATTTTGTAAAATCTTTCACATGAATATCTTTCAATTTTGTGAAGAATAATAATTCAAATTTAATACAAATTTATATTCATTTTGTCATGACTATTTAAACAATGTACACTCACCGTTCCTACATTAATTAAAATATAAACAATATATTATATCCCAAGTACCTACTGTCCTTGCGAGCAGAAAACTCTTGTCTCGTAGCAAAAAATATTTCAAAACTATAGATGGCTGACCGCTTCAACTGATTTCCTTTCTCCTGTGTACGATTTCCTCGCACGAGAAAGTTTAATCAACTGTGATAGTCGAGAAATAAAAGCTCTGCAAGTAGTGACAATTTAGCTTAAAGATGCGAAGTATATCGTACATCTAATGATGAATAAATTTTATTTTTCAATTATCGTTTTATTAGGGTAAGTATATCAAAATTCGTATGTATGTATGTATGTATGTAAATAAACATGTATTTACAAGTGAAAATTCGCCACCATTACCCGCGGGCACAAGAGAAATTTTCTCGCTGAAATCCAACCGAATTTTTTTATATGTTCGTACGAACAAGATAAAAGCAACAACTACCTTAATCTCGATCGCAACATAATCGGGGACCACACCAGTACAGACGAACAATCGCAACGCGTTTATTCCGAATGGCATCAAGAGAAGACTCCGACTTTTCTACCTGATAATATTTACAATTTCAAACAGCTTCACCGATTAAAGTCCAAGTCACTTCTTCACGGAGGACATCTTAATATTTATTTTCCCTCTGCGCGAAAAGTCGCTCGTACTTTGATTTCCGGTTGCTTTTATACACGAATCAAGTCACCACTCTATCGGCGAAAAAAAAACCAGTCTAATTATGATCTCTCGCTCTTTTTTTTTTCATTTTCTACACATCGGGTCGGACAAGTATATACAAATAAGTCGAGTTGTGCCCATTGAACGCGCCGAAAAAGCCCGAGCGCGAATCAGGCCTGAAGAGCCCTCGAACTCGCTATCTCCCGGCTGGAATCGCGCGCAGGCCAGTTGCGTGTGCGTCGAGTATGTGTGCGCAGATAACGATCGCATAATCACGCGCGCATAGGTGCGAAAGAGAGGCCGCCGCGTCGAGCACAACACAAAAAAAAAATAAAATAAACTCTCTCTCGGGCGATAACACGCGTGACTGGTCGCATTGACGTCTTAACTAAGAGGCGATTTTTCCATCGCGCTCGACGCAGTAAGGCTCTTCAATAATCTCTTATACACCACGTATGTATAATGTACGTGAGCAACTCCTTTTTTGCTGCTGCACCAGCGACGCGACACATCTGCCCGCTCGTGTAACGATTTTTTCATTCGCCTCTTGACAATTTGCTCTCTCTCTCTTTTCTTTCTGTTTTTTTCCCTCGACGTGTGTGTGCATCGATGCCACCGTCGCTGCCAACGCGTTAGCCACGCCAATTAAAAGCAAAAGTCAATGCGTCGATGTACATCGTGTATCGACACTCGTAAAAATCGCGTCCACTTATAGGTGCAGCAGCATCGATCATGATTGATACTTACACTCCACCGACATTTTCCACGATTGCGATACGCTCATGCTGCTGCTGATCCGCCACATATATACCGATCATTAGAGCGCCGCAAACTCCGTCCGTCTGTCTGTCTGTCTCTATCTCTTTGGTGTGCGGCTTAGGCATCATTAATTACGCTGATATTTCTCTCGCTCTCTTATATAAGCTACGTATATATACGTGTGTGTACGTGCGAGTCGCCGGGACGAGGAAGCGTATTAAAATATAAAAATCGCATTAGCCGATCCGCAACATACATATAATATACACACACACACGGGCAGACGAGCTACTCTCAACTCTATTTTTCTCTCTCGCTGCGATGCGGGACAGTAGAGATCAAAGTTTTGGCACCCTTTCTATATTATATATATTATGTGTACAGGTATAAATACGGCGCGCTCGGTGCGCGCATATAGGACTCTAGGATATACACAAATACTTATGCGGATATACGGGAGAGATGGGGTTGCGCTGCTGCTCCTACAGACAGAGTGAGATTCGTGTCATTGTGCCTTTATACACAAAACGCCGAGCGAGAGTTTTATTATTAGCGAAACATCCTTATAATGTGTTCCGTACCGACACACACACTGCACTCGTGTATATATATGGGCGATCGTTTTGACTTTTGCGTTCGTTCTATTTCCTTCGTTTTTTTCATATTTTACATATTATACGAGGTACGAGATCGAACGTTATGAAATATGCGCATGTGTATTTCGTTCACCCGGACATGCCCCGGAGCTACGAATATTGAATGGACCCGAGGTATGAAATATATAATAAATCGCACGTGCGTGGCATAAATTAATTTCCAATAACCCCTTCGAACGAAACGTCGCACACATATACGCATTTACACTCGAGTCTCCTCGATACACACGTACATACAAATGGATATGGTAAGTATATGTATATTCGAAAACATCGCACACACATGTGTACGTATATGCAGAGAAGAGAGAGAGGATGGAAAGTAGTGGGGACCCCACCTGGGGGCCTTATACGCGTATACGTTTTTCCTAACTGTGTGACGCCTTGTCTGTCTCTTTTTCGCCTCGGCCTATGGGTTTTAAGCCTTGGCCCCCGTACACATACACAACGGCGGCGGCATTTCATTTTGCATACAATATACATACACCGTAGCAGCAGCAGCAGCAGAATCTCATATTCTCTTTCCGTGGGTTAACTACGAGAGCGGAATATGTTTAACCCTTTTTTCTCCCTGGGCTGTTTTCGTCCCGCGAAATGTAGGTCTTAGTCTCTGGAACGACGCCGCCTTGACAACATCTCGAGAGTCGAAGAAGACTTGGATATTTTTAAATACGCGCGTAATGCCGCGGAAGCCTCGTGAGAAGAGAGATGGGTTTTTGGCCCGTCGAGATCGTCGTTCGAAGGATCGTTGTGAGTTCAAGTAAGTTCAAAAATCAAATCTTTTCCTCGCAAAAATTTCTTCCTCTATAATATCGTAAGAGTCACGTGTCATTACTCATCCTTACAATAGTAAATCCTCGCGACAAATTGACAGGCGCGCATAGCTTCGCGTATTTCGGAAAACATAAAAGAAAAGTTAAAAAAGGGAACATAGAGGAAATAAGTCAACTCTTTTATGCTTTCGTCTTCGTAATACGAGTATCGTAATAGCTCCATTAAATGAAAAAAAAAAGCGCGACGATCGGCAAAGTTATTAAAAGCTCCGCGCTTATACGACGTTTTTACAATGTCACATCGTCGTGCGCCTGACGTTAAAAAGCCGCAAGTATTTCCGAAAATTACTCGCGATGCTAACGACTCTTATTTTGCAATGATAATATTAAATTTTCTCGTCCGATATTAATTTATAAATTCGTATATATATCCGTCGGGCGTACCATATACGATATAAATATTACGGCCACTTTAATTTAATGTCCCACAGCGAGTCGAGGAGGAGGACACGCGCGATCGTGTGTACTAATAAATTTGTACATTATATAATATGGACGGAAAAAGTTATATAGGATGCGCGAGATTTATATTATCGACGCTGCGCGGGCTGCATTGATATCGACAATTATGTGCCATCGCTCGCGAGCTTAGTCAGAGCGAGTATATAATAGTTATAAAATTTACAACTCCTTGGCTTCTGTACATAAAGTCACTCTCGGAGAAAAATTTTACAACGCGCCGATAAATTTCCGGCCTTTAGTGTACAACGTGTGCAGATGTGCGGTCTAGATCTTTTTATTTTTTATTTTTTTATTATTAAATTTCACTGCTAGAGAAAAAGAAGATTCTTGAGTTACAGTCTAGCCGTATACTTGTAATCGAGTATACTTTTCCATTGATACAGAACTCGGTCATCCTCGTCGGACAATGACAAAGTAAGGCAATACTCGTCCATCCATCCAGCAGCAGCAGCCGGTGTCGGTCCAGCTAAAAGCCATTTTGTCGAGCGAGAGAGAGAGAGAAAAAGTGAAAGGCCGTCGGACCACTGCCGCTGCTGCATGATCTCCACACCCCGCGCCGTCCGTCCGAATTAGCGTGTGCATGTGCGTGGCCCACTTTTATTACACAAGAGAGAGAGAATCGGAAGTTGAGGGTCAGTCGCAGTCATTTTTTTTATTCTCGGCAAACACAATCGGTACCTCCTACTGAGAAGGCAGTTGACCGCTGGTCAAGCTTGGGCGAAAGAGAGAAAACAGTTGTAACGCGTCACTTGACCGTGCATAACGTGATTTGTGTGTGCCCGTTCCAAAACTCGTTGTTCTACTCTCGCTTCGCCTCGACTCTCTTATTCTATTTTCGGACCGGCCTTTCTCTCTTTTCGCGGGCCCGAGTCTCGGGCATTTATGAATTAATCAGATCGTGCACGAACAATTGCCTCCTTCCGGCGCACTTATTAACATTCAAAAGTCCATCGATCATTTCGCCTCTATTATCTGCCCGCTTATATACTTGCGTATGTGTGTGTACATTATTTTTCCGGTTTTGTTGGCGTGTTAATCGTTATTACGTTGTATTTGGTGGTGGACCTCGTTGGATCGATTTTAAAAGACAATTGTATTAATGAGTGGGGGAAGAAGCTGTACATTACCGCCAGTGATGATAAATACATCTTTTTAAAGCATACTGTGGAGTTTTAGAATTTAGAAAACTTGCAAGATCCTTTTGACTCAAATTGTATTTTTTAGCTGAGCGAAGCGAAGTCCTACTATTGTTAACTCAGGACGGCCTTGTAAACACGATACCTCAATAACCGTTCAACCGATTGGGTCCAAATTTTTATGGTACCTTTCTAGCGACCCGAAGATGTGCTGTATAAATTTTGGAATCGATACGATCATTTTTCACCCCTCTATCAACCCTTAAACTATTTACGTGATTCTCGCGTTATATTCATCAGAATTTTTGTATCAATATGTATCT